CATGGCTGTGTTCCAATAAACTTACAAAAGCAGGCTGATAGCTGAATTTGGCCCATAGGCCATAGTTTGCCAGCCCTTACTCTGTAGTATTCTGGCTCAGCAGTGAGCCTTGTCACCACTGCTCAGAGGATTTATTTGTTACATCTAGCAAAGACTTGAACATAGATGCGATCACTTGAAGCTAATACTCAGAGAATGCTCCCCAGACTATGGAGCTGTTCTATGGTTAGAGTACCTTTAGTCATGTGCTTCTCTATTAGAATTATTTCTTTTACCATCACATGGTCAGCCATCTTTTCGGCTTGTTCCTGGGCAGAATGCTTGCTACTTATAGGCCCTCTCATTCCTGCTTCAAATCCAAGCTACTGCCTTTTATTGAACTGAGTTGTGGTTTTTTTTGTTTTTGTTTTTGTTCTTTCATCCTTTTCTTTTCAAATTTGGTTTTCTCTTGCTTCAGTCTCCTTTCCCTGCTGTTTCACTGTTTCTCCTATGCAACTCAATGTTCTGAGAAGCTGGGTTTTTTTTTTTTTTTAACCTTTTGCCAGTAAGTGGGAGGGTTCCAGTCCTTCTAATAGTGAATGAAGCCATCACATAGTATCTTTCATGAGCCCCGAGACTCAGTGTCTTCTCAGTCATTTTTGTAATTACTTGCTGAACAAAGATTCTTTGTTTGTTGACAGAGTTTATTGTGTGCTTTAATTTACCTCACCTTCATTTATTTATTTAAAAGTATTTGGGGCCACCTGCTGTGTACCAGCTACTGTTCTCAGCACTGAGAATGCAGAGATGAACATAATAGACGTTGCTCCTACCCTCATGAAGTTTAGCAAAGAAGACACACATTAAATAAAGAATTAGGCTAAGCACAATGGCTCATGCCTCTAATCCCAGCACTTTAGGAGGTGGGAGGATCACCTGAGCCCAGGAGTTTGAGACAAGCTTGGGCAATATAATGAGACCTCATCTCTACAAAAACCTTAAAAAAATTCACCAAGCTTGGTGACGTGTGCCTGTAGTCTCAGCTACTAGGGAGGATGAGGTAGAAGGATGGCTTGAATGAGAGAGAGAGAAGGAGGAAAGGAAGGAGGGAAGGAGGGGGAGGGATGGAGGTAGGAAGAAAGGAAGGAAGGAAGAAAATAATTATGCAAATAGGCCAGGCATGGTGGCTCACGCCTATAATCCCAGCACTTTGGGAGGTTGGGGTGGGCAGATCGCTTCAGCCCAGGAGTTTGAGACCAGCCTAGGCAACATGGCAAAACCCCATCTCTACAAAAAAAAAAAAGGCAAAAAAATTACCTGGACTTGATGGCACATGCCTATAATCCCAGCTACTCAGGAGGCAGAAGTGGGAGCATCACGTGAGCCCAGGAGGTCAAGGCTGCGGTGAGCC